GCTAGCTTTATCAAATTAATTTGATGCTGGCATAAAAGTCTGTCTCCCTCCCTAAATTCAGTGCTCCTCACGAACATGGATAGTATTTTTCCTATTTCAGTGTTGTCAAAGAGCATCAGATATACACATTTGCTCAAGGCACAAAGTCCTCCAAAATTCACAGTAAGAACTGGGTTGCATTTTAGGGCATCTGAATCCATTTCAGGGTCTCCAATCCTTGGTTGGGGTCCACAACACCCAGAGACCTTGCCAACATCACTTTTTGCCTCTTTCTTCCTTAAAAACATTGGCGTTGGACAGCAAGTGCTGTCTGTGTTTCCCAGAGGGAAGGGGAATAAACTGAGTGTCTCTATTGTTCTGTGGCTGCCTAACAAAGTACACCACGGCCTGCTAGGAACAATTACAAACATGAGTTGGCTCTGCTTTTCCAGCATCATGTGCCACTCATAACAGTCTCCACATTAACCATGGACATGAGGGATAAGTAATCTTAGCAGTGGCCCCTGCACTTGAGCAACTCTAACCAAAAACTTGGCCTTACATCGGGACCTAACGTTAATAAAGACATCCCAGTTTCAACTGGAAAGACACAGAACTGTTAGTTTTCAGCAAGGCAAGTTTATTTACTCCTGCAGGAGATAAACAAACGTGGCCACCAGAGAGAGCCCAGGACAAAATGTACTTGACCTGCAAGAGATAAACCAAAAGCCTCCAGTCTCAGAACAAGCTCAATTTTCTGCCCCTCTCAGCTCATCGTCGCATATGGATTTCAGAGGAACAAAAACAGATGTAAAGGAGGTACCACATGCTGAAGGAAGAGTTGGAAAATACAGGCAGTTGGTTTCACAAAGGCAGAGAAGGGCAGAGAAGCAACCTCAAAATCTAAACCCAGTACTATCACTGCTATATGATCAAGGAAGGAGTCACTTAATTGCTCAATGCCTTAGTTTCCCTACCTATGATGCTGAGAGATATCAGTACATTGAGTATACTTACATTTTAATTACTGGATGCATATAAAAGTCTAACCCAAAAGGAGTTATTTTGATAATTAAGCAAAACAAAATTCAGACCACTAATCGTCATTCAGGTCACCTATCAAAACTAACTGCATTCTCCCATCCTCACATTTCTGTAGGATTTTTTTCCCTCCTAGAATTTATTACTACCTGAAATTATCCTATTTAGTCATGTGTTTGTCTGTTCTCTCTCAGCCATGAAAATAGCAATATTGGCTGGGCGCGATGGCCCATGCCTGTAATCCCAGCACTTTGGGAGGCTGAGGCGGGTGGATCACCTGAGGTCAGGAGTTCAAGACCAGCCTGACCAACATGGGGAAACCCCGTCTCTACTAAAAATACAAAATTAGCCAGACGTGGTGGCGCATGCCTGTAATCCCAGCTACTCGGGAGGCTGAGGCAGGAGAATCGCTTGAATTTGGGAGGCAGAGGTTGTGGTGAGCCGAAATCGTGCCATTGCACTCCAGCCTGGGTAACAAGAGTGAAACTCCGTCTCAAAAAAAAAAAAAAAAGAGAAAAGAAAGAAACCAGCAATATTTTCCTATCTTACTGCTTTATCCTGCCTGGCTCATTAACTTCCTGTTGAATGAATTAATACTAGGTTAAAGTAATTTGAAGGCCAGACACAGTGGCTCATGCCTGTAATCCCAGCACTTTGGGAGGCCAAGGCAGGAAGATCGCTTGAGCCCAGGAGTTTGAGACCAGTCTAGCCAACCTGGCAAAACTCTGTCTCTACAAAAAAATACAAAAATTAGCCGGGTGTGGTGGTGCACACTTGTAGTCCCAGTAATCGGCAAGCTGAGGAGGAAGGATGGATTGAGCCTAGGAAAACAAGGCTGCAGTGATCGCACCACTGCACTCCAGCCTGGGCAACAAAGCGAGACTCTATCTCAAAAAAACATAATAATAACAATAATAATAAAATTGTAGGGCTGGGCAGGGTATCTCACGCCTATAATCCCAACACTGCAGTAGGCCAAGGTGAGAGGATCGCTTGAACATTTGAGACTGCCCTGGGCAACACAGTGAGACCCCATCTCTATTCAAACAATTTAAAAATTTTTAAAAAACAAAAAAATTTTAGGAGATATAAACTAATATATAGTGACAGAAAGCAGAACAGTGGCTAAGAACAAACGAGGGATTACAAAAAACATGAGGCAAAATTACGAGGGGCAATAGATGTGTTCATTATCTTGACTGTGGTGGTGGTTTCCCAAGTGTATATGTATGTCAAAACTGATCAAATTGTACATTTAAATATATGCATTTAATTGCATGTCATTTATAGCTCATTAAGGCTGGTTAATAAAACAGACTTATAATCTAAAAAATGATAAATCATTCAAAATTCTGTGTATTATGTTCATAATCTGGCTTTTTGGGTGGTACACAATACCAGGGCTGGAGGGGAAAAGGAACTACTCCATTTCAAACTGTCATCTTTACCACTTGCTGCTTTGACTATGCCCACACTTTCATGCTTCTAAACTAACAAACTGGACAATGTAGGGTCTATTACTACACAGATCTTCTCCCAACCCTCAGCCCCCTAAAGCAGCAAATCCTTACTTGTCTGGAAGAGCAGACACCAGGAACAAAAGGCTCAATGACTATTAGACAGATTAAAGAATAGACAACTGTTTATTTAAAAGCTCCCTAAAGAATAAGAACATTTGAGGCTATATACTGTTCCGTTGAAATGCAGTTATATATTACCCAGATCCGCAAGCACTTGCCAACAGACCTGTCCAAGTCACCCACTTCCTACGAGTTCTGTTTTCTTTTTTCTCCCCTTTTTAAATTCCAGATCCATGTAAGAATGACATGCCAGGTCTGTTTGGAGGAGACATTCCTAATATTTTGAAAAATCTCATTCAGGCCGGGTGCAGTGGCTCATGCCTGTAATTCCAGCACTTTGGGAGGCCGAGGCAGGCGGATCTCGAGGTCAGGAGTTTGAGACCAACCTGGCCAACATAGTGAAACTCCGTCTCTACTAAAAATACAAAACTTGGCAGGGCACGGTGGCTCATGCTTGTAATTCCAGCACTTTGGGAGGTCGAGGCGGGCGGATCACAAGGTCAGGAGATCGAGACCATCCCGGCTAACATGGTGAAACCCCGTCTCTACCAAAAATACAAAACATTCGCCAGACGTCGTGGCGGGCACCTGTAGTCCCAGCTACTTGAGAGGCTGAGGCAGGAGGATGGCTTGAACCCGGAAGGCGGAGCTTGTAGTGAGCCGAGATTGCGCCATGGCACTCCAGCCTGGGCAAGAGAGCGAGGCTCTGTTTCAAAAAAAAAAATTAGCCGGGCATAGTGGCATGCCGGTAGTCCCAGCTACTAGGGAGGTTGAGGCAGGAGAATCGCTTGAACCTAGGAGGCGGAGGTTGTGGTGAGCCGAGATCGTGCCACTGCACTCCAGCCTGGGCTGTTAACAGAGTGAGACTCCGTCTCAAAAAAAGAGAAAAAAAAAGAAAGAAAAAAAAATCTCATTCAAATAGCCTCAATAGCTTGAATCGTTTTTTAAATGTCTGAGACAGTGACCATAATTGAACAACCATGGAAAAAAATAGACAATGGGTCTTAAGTGTGAGTGGTATATAGAGTGATTATATAAAATAGCAGGATCATTATCTGAAAACAAGTTACACTACTGTTTGACAACAAAATTAAGGCTTACAAGTGGTTAGCAATAGTTACAAAATAATAGAAGCAACATAGTGATTAAAAGTAGGGATTCTGTCTCCACCACCTACTAGCTGTGAGGTTAAGCAATCTACTTAACCTCTCCGAAACTCGGTTTACTCATCTTTACAATGGGGATAATAGTAGCCATCTGATAGGGCTGTCGTCAGAACTAAGCAAATGTTAGCTATTAGTAGTAATATTACCCTGATCTTTCAAAGGATCTCATTAACTCACTAATTCTCCTTAGTTTCAAATCTTGTCATTTACTAGCATGTTGCTTCTGGGCCTCGGTTTCCTCATCCATAAAACGGGTACCAGTAAAGTGACCTGACTGTTAAGGTTGCAGTGAAGGATTAAATAATGAGATGCGGCTCCCTTCCTTTCCATCTCCCAAAGCGAAGATCGCAGAGGAAGGAAATACTTCTAGTGGCTGCAGATACAGTCAGTTTTTCCATTTCTGGCACGTGAGGGGTGGGAGAAAAAGAAGACACAAAGGGGCACATAAAAGGGTCAGGGGTCTTTCGTGAAGACCCCAAATGCACGCAAGTGGCACAGTGACCCAGAACGACTAGACTACTGGGGGCCCGGCCCCGCGCAACTCCCATCTCGTGTCCCAGAGAGCCTCCCCAAGTGAGCAGGGTTATTTCGGAATCACCATGAGGCAATTCTCATGAGGCAATGGGTCAGGAATGCGGCGCTGAGCCGGGCCGCTGGCGCCCGTGGTTCCCTAGGCGGCTCTACCTGCCCCAGGCCTGACGGGCATCCCCCGGGCTGCCGCAGCCGGAACTCAGGGAGGCAGGAAATGAATGGGGACCCAAGGGGTGGGGGCGCAGTGGGGCCGGCCCCCGGGCCGAGGAGGGACAGGGGACGAGGAGGGAACTGGCCC